ATTTAATTATTAATTAAATATTTTTTTGTAATTACTATAATAACAGTTATATGAAAAATAAAGCAGCCATTATATACTCCGTGTCCCCGTTTTTTTATTTTCAACAGCAAAACATTTTATAAAGTATATAAAGTCAAAATAGGCTTTTACTTAATTAAGCCTATTTATAGTTGATTAACGTTATGTTAAAAAAAATCCGGGGAAACTGTTCATGGCAATAAAGTTTTCTCTAAAGGTAGGTCATAATTCGAATATACAACTTTCCGATTCTTGGAGGAAATTGTTTAAGTTTATCGGTAGACTCACCTCTTCAAAGAGTATTAGGAATTTGTACATTTTGAACTAAAATACAACAAAAGTCATGCTAAGTATTTTAATATTTTTAATTTTTTTTTGAACTATCAAGGTAAAAATTCAGTTAATTTTTGAGGTTTTTCTGTTTCGTATAATAAACCTTTTTTTTTAATTTTTTACCACTTCCTTAGCAAATATTTTTCGATAGTCCTTGTAAATAAAATGTACATCACTAGCTAACGCACACAATGACAAATCAAAATTGGTTACATATTTTCAGACTGTCAGCTCGACTATACGCCAGTATATTCTAAGTCTATAGGCGGCTCTTCACTTTGGCCAATATACTGGCGAATGTGTTGGCCAATAAAGATGGCCATCGTGTAAAGCGGGTATTTATCCTTACGTTGGTATGTATTGGAATGATGGCCCACAAGTTGACGCGAGATCCGTGTGGTGTCGGTTTTTTACAAAAGATAAAAGGATTGTGGCAGAGTATTGGTCACCGCGTCCACACGTTGGGCGCACGTTCAGTTTGCTACGAGCTCCCAGAGTGATCGCACGCACCTGATTTAAATTTTATATGCACGCATCGTAACTAGTGTCTGCGTAATGGCAGTAACAATGACCAATGGAAAACTTTTCACTTTATAGAGCCCTACCATGCCGAAAATTGTTTGTGAAACACAAGTCTTTCAAGTCTTTTTTTAAAAACAAACGTTACACTAGGATTTTCTCCTGTATCGTGGAGGCAGTTTACAAACATGTTTTTTATAGGATAAGGGTGACAAACGAGCACACAGTCCACCTGATGGTAAGTCGTTGCTGCGGCCCATAGACATCTACATCTATCCTCTATTACAAATCAAAATGTAGATGCGTTGTCACCCGTGAGGACTAAGATGGAATGCCTCATTTCCAGTAAAAAAGGCCTCCGGCCACCTGCACTCACCAAGCGAAACGCAGAGGTAAACCTCTACTTCACGCTGATTTTCTGTGAGGTCGTGGTACCACCCAGGTTCGAGCCGGCCCATCCGTGCGACAGCAAAAGCTGCCGCGTGGCTCTACCACTGTTAAAATACAAATTACAAAAAAAAACATAATTTGCATAAAGACAAACATCCAGACCAGAGGCTATTATTTGCAGGCCATACAAATACTTGTTCCGTGCGGGATTCGAACCCGCGGCCCCCAGCACAGCAACTCATTGCTAAGGCACTACGCCACGGAGCCGCCAAGAAATAAAATTTCTTTATTTCCATTTCTTTTTGATCACCCTTTTCTTATACACATTCACGTTGTAGCGGTATGCTGTGAATAAATAAACTGCAGCAGCCGTTACCACCTCAATAATCATTTTAATAAATTCGTCCGTACATTGGCCTGAACCGAAGAAAACTGAACGACCTTCCAACGTATGGACACGATCACAAATTCTTGGCCAATATGTCTGCCAAGTGCCAACACATTCGCCACTATGTTGGCCAACGTGAAGAGCCGCCATATGGCATATTCTAAGTTTTTGGTCTATGTTCAAAACTTAATCTCAGAGTCATTTACGTTCATTGAGCTATTATGTACTACGTACTAGAGGCGACACTGCATTATGTTACGCTGTTCCATTCAACTGCGGTGATATTGCCACACTTTACTCAGTCGCTCGCAGTCGCTCGCTAGCACAGAGTACTTTTTATATACTGAAACTCGCTAGGCGCTAGTGAGATGACACATGTTGTGTTGATTATATAAAAAAAATTCTTGATAAAATACACCATGGTGTGTTTTAGAAATTGCACAAATAATTCAAGAAATGTTAGCAAATACCATGGAATAACTTTTCATCGGTGAGTAAAATATTTAATAAAAAAGTATTATAGATTAATAATTAATCAAACAAATTATTTAAAATATAGATTATGAAATTAATTTGTTCAGATGCGACGTTTCTGTCGGTACTTAAGTCTGAGAATAATTATTATGCATAATATGTTGTTTTTTTGTAGAAACAAATGGAAGTATTCATAATTAGGCTAAATTTATAATATTTAAATTTGCTGATTATTCTTTTATTTTATTTTTAGGTTTCCACGTCCAAGCCATGAAAACAGGGAAAAATGGACTAAATTAATAAATTATTTAACTCTCGCGTGCCCATCATTTATGAACAACTCTTATTCTAATCTAAATAAATATATTAGTAAATTATATGTTATATCAATAAGTTTTGTTACAAATACATTAAGTATGTTTTTTTTATATTTTACATAGTTACCTTTTAAAATATTCAAATAAAAATATCATTTAAATGTAATTCAGAAATCAGCAGTACCATGCGATAACGTAATTATATTATTATATAACATTGCTGGGATTTTAGTTTTTATTTTCTGATTAGACGACGAACGAATTTTTTGTAATGTTCAGTATAATATATTTACGGGACTTAAGAGAGGTGGAACCCTCGTCGCGCGAGTCACACTAGTATATGGCGGTTTTTTTTTAATACTATAACGCTAGAAGTTTTACAGGCTTCCCAAATAATTAGTATCTTTTTTTTCAGCCAACAAAATGTGGTGAACAGGAAGTATCAGAACCGTTGTTTGAATCAATAAGCAGTTCAAATTCAATTTTTAATAGTTCGAGCAAAATTGTACTTACAAATGAATTACGCAAGTGATGTCTCCTCAGCCTAATTTGAGTGATGTATACGAAGCCTAAGTTTTTAAATACAGGGTATTTTTGGAACGCTCCCGAAAACTAAGACAGGCGACAGCACCAAGTATACCTTTGATCATGGGTTACAAATAAAGTCGATCCTGATGAAAAAAAAAATCATCTTTTAACAACGTTTTATTAGCTTTATTCACGCGCCATCATGTTAGTACAGCTAAATGAAACGATAATTTCATAAAAAATATCATGCAAATACTGAAACATAAAACCAGCAGTGGAAACTGAATTGATATCACCTGACTAATGGAGGTTAATGTACGCGCGAACGGTGAAAACCAAACGCTTTTTTTTTTTTTTTTGCGGATGGAAAATCATCAAATGACGCCTTTCGCTCTGGGTGGAGCGGAAGGGAGTGTCAGACTTTTACTGACTAAAAACCATCCGTGTTCCTTCAGTGCCCTTACGTTCCGGAGCCGCGGTATCTCTTTCGAACAGCCCGCAGCCCCGGCAGGCGTCGGCCCTTGCGGGCCCCTTCACGCTGCTGACAGCTCTTTGAGGCGCGCGTGGAACAAAACGCGCCGTCGACACGGCCTGTCGTCGTTAGACGGACGGACGGCGAGCTACCCATTGCTCGCCGTCCACAGGCCCGCGCCTACGGTGGCCGGGGGCCACGACGTAGCCCCCTACGCCCGGGGCGTCTCCCGCGGCGGCCGGGAAGGAAAGCTGCTGCTCTCTCCTTCTCCCGCTCCGCCACCTCCTTCGCTAGCATCACTGCTTCGCAGAAGGTGGTGACGGCATCCCATTCCGTCTCGCTCCGGACCATGGCTACGACCAGGGCCGGACGCGAGAGGTCGCCGCCGCCTATCGCCGCTACGAGGACACGGCGGTGCTCCGCCCAGGCAGGGCACACCTCCACGGTGTGCTCCACCGTGTCCTCCGGTCGATCCTCGCAGTGGGAGCACCCGGGCGTTTCCTCCCGCCCGATTCGGTGCAGGAACCTCCCGAACACACCGTGTCCGGTGAGGACCTGCGTCAGGCGGAAGGTGAGGCTCTCAAGCCACTCCTCAAAGAGGGGTCTTATCGCCGCTATAGTGGCGTGCCCAGCACGGGGTTGCGACAGTCGCTCTCTCCATGTCGCCATAAGATCATGCCGGAAGTCTGTCCGCTGCACGACAACTTGCCGCGGCAGCGGGGTTTCCCCCCGGCACAGTGCCTCCGCGCGCCATTCGTGTAGGCGCGCGAGGACTATCGCCTCCAGATCCCATGGCGGTAATCCGGCAAGGAGGCACGCTGCCTCGCGGGAGATCGTGCGGTAGCCGCGAGCCATTCTTACGGCAACCACCTTTTGGGGCGCGTTCAGGTGGTGAACGGCAAGCCGCGCCAAACCACGCGCCCACACCGGGGCCCCGTAAAGGGCCATGGACCGCACAATCCCCGCGTAGAGCCTCCGGCAGGAGGCGTTTGGCCCCCCCAGGTTCGGCAGGAGCCGCCTGAAGGCAGCCCCGGTCCGTTCCAGTTTGGGAGCCAAACGTCGGAAGTGCTCAACGAAGTTCCATCGGCCGTCGAGGACGAGTCCTAGGTACTTCAACGTCGACTCGACGCCGATGGATACCCCTCCTACCATCGCTGAGGATCCCGGTGGTGGCCTGTTCCGAGGACCATGGAAGTGCATGGCCTCGGACTTGTGCAGAGCCACCTCAAGACCCAGCTGCCGGATCCTCTCAACGACTATCGCAACCCCGCGTGTCATATTTTCCGCCGCCGCCTCGTACGACCCCCCCTGTGCCAGTACCAGCGTGTCGTCAGCGTAGCAAACTACGCTGACGCCGGTAGGGAGGTCGGCGCGCAGCACCCAGTCGTAACCGATGTTCCACAGGGGCGGCCCCAGAACCGAACCTTGTGGGACACCGCACGACATCTCTCGCCGGTTCCACTCACCGTTGCGACCGGGGTAAATGACGGCCCTATCCGTCAGATAGTCCCCGACTATACGACGGAGATAGGTCGGCACCCGGTGATACCGGAGTGCCTCCCTAATGCAGCTCCAGGGCATGGAGTTGAAGGCGTTGGCGATGTCGAGAGACACCGCCAAAACAACCCCCCCCCCTGGCCACTGCATCCCCCGTCGTGAGGGCTCTCACGCGCATGATGGCGTCCACCGTAGAGCGCCTCTTGCGGAAACCAAACTGGTGTTCCGCAAGATCCGGCCCCGTCCCCGCAAGGTGCTCGGCGAGGCGGTTTGCAATGACTCTTTCAAAGAGCTTGCCCACCTCGTCGAGCAGCACCACGGGCCGGTATGCGGACGGAGAGTCCGCAGGGCGCCCCGGCTTCCGAATGAGGACCAGCTTCCCCGTCTTCCAACGAAGCGGGAATTGGCCTCTCTCCAAGCATGCGCTTAGGAGCCCCTCCAGTCGGGGCCCGAGAGCCTCCGAGGCCAGGACCCAGGCTTTGCCAGGCAAGCCATCGGGTCCTGGGGCGGTATTCCTGGCCTTGAGCCTACGTACCGCCACTCTCAGGTCTACCCCGGTCCCTTCCGGGATGCCGTCGTCGTCGTCCTGGTGGTCCGCTTCCGGCACCGCAGGTGGCGGAGCCATAGGCGGGGGCGGATGTTCCCCTCGCGCAGGAAACAGAGCGCTCACCACGTCCTCCACGAGCTGAGGCCGGAGACTCTGCGTCAGCGGGGGGGCCCAGGTGCGGAGTTTATCCCGCACCATCTTGTAAGGGCGCCCCCACGGATCTCTGTCGAGAGTCTCCAGCATCTCCTCACGGGCCCGATCCCGGGCCCGCGTGATAGCCTCCCGGAGGGCGGTCTTCGCCGCTCTGTATCCCTCGTACAGCTCCGCCTCAATGGCTGCCGCATTCGGTGGACGAATGCGGAGCCTGCGATGCCTGGCGTACAGGTGCCGCGCGGCGACACACGCCTCGCGCAGAGACGTCAGCTCACGCGACCACCAATACACCTGACGCCGGGCGCTTCCTGGCCGGACGCAGGGCATTGCCACGTCACATATCTCGGACATGGCCTCCTGGAACCACCCTGCCTCATCATTGACGTCGGCAGGCCTATCCGGTGATGACACCCAGGCCTGCACGATCGAGGCTTCCAGGAGGAGCTCCCGGTCCAGCTGCTTCAGCGCCCAACGCGGACCACTCGGGGCCTGTTGGACTGGCGCGCTCGAGGGCTGGGTGGAGACGTCAAACCGGATGTACCGGTGGTCGGAGTAGGTCTCCACCCCCTCCATGACTCGCCAGTCAATGGCACGCGGCGACAGAGCGGGGCTAGCGAACGAAATGTCCACCACCGACTCGCCCCGCATCCGCACACACGTGGGGACAGAACCCCGATTTAGGACGACCAGGCCTGTCTCCAGAGCCCAGTCTTCCACCATCCTACCCCGCACATCTGTACGACGAGAACCCCAAGCCAAGTTCTTGGCATTGAAGTCCCCGAGGACAAGCACGGGGAGGGGATAGCTTCCGACGACGACTGCTCTCAGCTCTGCAAGAGAGTTGTGGAGCTCGGCGAGAGATCGGTTCGGGGAGAAGTACACCCCCACAACGACGAACTCCCCGAACCGTGCTGCTACGAACCCCTGACCCCTCCTGACACCTGCGCATCATGGGTCTGGACGACTCGGTATCGGAGGAGGAGTTGGTGGCCGCCGTCGCCAGGTCCGGGGGGTGCACTACTGACCAGGTCAGGTCAGGCGCCATACGCCCGGATCAACAGGGTATGCATGCCGCCACGGTATGCTGCCCTGTTACGGCGGCCAAAACCATAATGGAGGGCCGAAGGCTTCTGGTGGGCTGGGTCTCAGCGCAGGTTAAGCTGCTGGAGCCCAGACCTCTGAGGTGCTACCGCTGTCTCGTGGGGCATCACGTGTCATCACCATTCGGAAGCCGGGGCGCCCTGCGGACTCTCCGTCCGCATACCGGCCCGTGGTGCTGCTCGACGAGGTGGGCAAGCTCTTTGAAAGAGTCATTGCAAACCGCCTCGCCGAGCACCTTGCGGGGACGGGGCCGGATCTTGCGGAACACCAGTTTGGTTTCCGCAAGAGGCGCTCTACGGTGGACGCCATCATGCGCGTGAGAGCCCTCACGACGGGGGATGCAGTGGCCAGGGGGGGGGGGTTGTTTTGGCGGTGTCTCTCGACATCGCCAACGCCTTCAACTCCATGCCCTGGAGCTGCATTAGGGAGGCACTCCGGTATCACCGGGTGCCGACCTATCTCCGTCGTATAGTCGGGGTACCGGCGGCGGCCGAAGAAATGATGGCCACTGAGCCGTTAAGGTCCGCCACCCAGTCCTTCCTAGGCCAGACAAAATACGGCTCAGCGACCACAGCGATGTTAATCGACCACTGCGCCATGCTCTGGAGCAACAGATCCTGAGCGCAGGCGCAGTGGTTGATATTCGCCTGGAGGAAGCTTAATGGGGCCGTTATAGGCATTCCATTTCAGCTTCCTCCACGGGGCGCCCCTCTGCAGGCGTCGGTGTCGCGGCGGCGGCGGCGGCGACAGTGACAGCGGCGGCGGTGGCAGTTGCAGCTGCGGCGGTGGCCATAGAGGCGGTGGCGGCGGAGGAGGGCCCTCTCCTACCCGCGGCCTTGGCCTTGGCGGGTGACACGCAGGCCCTGCTTCCGGCCCAGTGATCGGCTGGCTTGCCGGTCGCCGCACATGCATCACAGTGCGGCGTAGCGCAGCAGGTCGCCGATATGTGTCCGGGCTGACAGCAGCGGAAGCAGAGGCCACTGCGGTCAACCTCCGAGGCGCATTTCACTGACACGTGATGCCCCACGAGACAGCGGTAGCACCTCAGAGGTCTGGGCTCCAGCAGCTTAACCTGCACTGAGACCCAGCCCACCAGAAGCCTTCGGCCCTCCATTATGGTTTTGGCCGCCGTAACAGGGCAGCATACCGTGGCGGCATGCATACCCTGTTGATCCGGGCGTATGGCGCCTGACCTGACCTGGTCAGTAGTGCACCCCCCGGACCTGGCGACGGCGGCCACCAACTCCTCCTCCGATACCGAGTCGTCCAGACCCATGATGCGCAGGTCTGCGCATCTGACGGGCCTGGACACTCGGGCCTCGTCCGCGTTCAGGGACGCTCTGAGCTTCGCAGCCAGAGCGTCCGCAGTCGCGCCACTGGATTCCCCGGGGATCTCCAGCATACGGGCCCCCGTCTGGGTGACTTTGAGCCGGAGGCCCCCAGTGATCCCGAGCTCCCCGAGATCCACCGCCTCTTTCGCCTTCGCGAGCAGATCGCGGTAGGTAACGCCCTTCTTTTCCGCGTCCGGCTGTAGTGTAATCACTACAGCTGCGGTCTTCGGGGCGCGGAGCCTAGCCGCGATCTTGCGCGCCCTGAACTGGCGCTGCTGCTCCTGCTCTTTGGCCTTTTTGGCTGCCTTCTTCCCCTTCTGTTTGTCCCCGACCACTTGCCAACCAGCTTCTGCCGCGGGAGGTCTAGGGAGCTGGGGGGGCGGTGGCGGCGGCGGCAGCTGGCTTGCCGCTGGCGCTGGCCCATTCGCCGCAGGCACTGGGGCTGGCGCAGCCATCACCTGTGCTGCCGCCTTGCCCTTTTTCGCCTTCGCCTTGTCTCTCTTTCCCGTCGGCGACTTAGCCGGAGCCGGTTCAGCCGGTTTCGGTTTTGCTGGAGCCGGCTTTTCAGGGGGGAGGGGCAACTGCAGCCCCACCCGAGGGCTGGCTGGACGGCCCCGGCCTGGATGCGGCAGCCGTGACCGTCGCGTAAGAAGCCGTTGCCGGCCTCGCCGCCGTCTTGTTTGCCCCTAGGGGGGGGCGCAGGACGATGCCCTCCAGCACGGAGAACCGGTGCTGGAAGGCAGCCAGCTCCTGCCGGACCAGGTTCAGAACCTGGTTCTCCACCGGCACGGGCTGGCTTGGGCGCTGCGTCTGGGGCGCCGCGCGAGAGGCAGGCTCATGTAGACTGGCCAGGTCTGCGCGGAGCTTCTCATTCTCCTTCTGGAGAGTCTCCATGGCGGACGTCAGGCGGGCCACTTCCGTCCGCAGCTTCGCCACCTCGTCCGCATTAGGCCCAGCCCCAGCAAAGTTGGCCTCCGCAGCCGCCATGATGGAGGCGGAGGCCGCGGGAATGGCCTTGACTTTCGAGGAGGACTTTTGCTTGTTGGCCACGACCTTGATCGCGGCCTCCACCTCCTTTACGAATCTGGCCTTACGCTCCACCTCGGAGCCGCCAGTCGCGTCTGTTTCTTCGCCTGATTCCCGAACCGTGTCGTCCGGGTGGCGCCCCTCCTCGGCAAGCTTTGCCGGTCGTTCGGCCCTCTGAATGGTAGAGAGCTCCCTCCCCTTGCCTCTCAGCCCGCCCCGCCTGTTGGTGGGGATTTTCCGGGCCGAAACCTCCTCTTCACCGGATGCCGACCCCTGGTCGCCATCCCGCCTGGACCGCTTGCGGAAGAACTTGCTGGTCTCCGCGGTCCCAGGCTCCACTTGTCGGGAGCTCTCTGAGCCTCCCTCGCTGCTCGATGCGGCGTCGGACTCTGTCCCCGCATCGTTTCTCCTCTCCTCTACGTTGCCGTTGCCGGCGGTTTTGGTTTTTTGTGTTTTTTGTTTGGTTTCCATTTTTTGTACCCACGAGTATGGGGGAATTAAAAGTCCACCTTGGCAGAGACCCCTTACCAAGGTAAGCAGATTTAGAGGATTTATTACTCGCCAGGGGGTCTGCAGGTACCCTGGCGAGGAGCGCACTAACGACTGATTTGTTCATAGAACCCCGTCAGCCATCCATCCCCTCGCGGTGCGTCGCCGCTTGAGATTCGGGGTAACTTTTTATAGAGGTTTTCTCCCTCGCGGTCCGGGCGGTTAAGCCAAGACCCTCGGTCCCTATCAAAGCCGCGAGACGTGATCCACGACACTTCGATACTGGGATTACGAGACCGGCGGTGACAGCAAAGGATGAATCCTTTACTGTCTGCCCGGAGGCAGGGTAAGTGCACACCGAGCCCGCCCTCACTCCTCTGCTATGCCCTCTGCTGATCAGAGGGTCACGCAGTGGAACGCACCGTTGGTCCGGGACGGACCCCCCCCCCCATGTCAGAATAATTAGCCGCGGCAGTACCATTCCCCAAGGAGTAAGAATTTCTTCTCATTTCTCGAGGAAGACTACTGCTGCGCCCAGGGTGCACCGGCCCAGTATCTGCTCTTCCCTCCAGACGTATCGAGAGGGACCCGCAACTACCAGGCACACGTGGAGGACTTCTGACTTCGCACCCCGAAAAACAAACGCTGGCCTTGAACTTGGGCACTGAGCGATTTATCACATATTGGTACGAAAGGTGCGCGACGGGGGAACAATCCGCCAGTATTAGTGTGCCTGCATGCTATTGGTTCCCGCGCTTTGTTCGCTCCAAAAATACAGTCGCATACACAGCTTACTTTGCGACTCGCGACGATGTTTGAAAAAGGAAGGAAAGAAAAATTATTTATATCTATTGTTTTATGACTAAACTAGTGATCGAAAAGGTAAATATGATAGGAGAAGGTGAATGGGGAAAATTGTGCAGTAAAGTTAAAAGTGTGGAGGAAGAATACCGAAAAAATTACCATGTGATCGACCTG